AAAAAAGACAAATAACATGGTATTCGTTTCAGGTATACAACATAATGATTTGATATATGTATATATTACAAAATAAACACAAAAATGAGTTAAATATCCACCACCACACATAGTTACACATTTTTTTTTTTCTGGTGATGAGAACTTTTAGGATTTACTTTCTTAGCAACTTTCAAATACACAATACAGTGTATTAACTGTGGTTACCACATTACATGTCACATCCATTATACTTTATGTATATATTACACTACATTACATTTATTATTATTTGTTCAACATGTTGTTATGTCCCATGAACTGCTGTAGGTGCTTTATCAGTTACTTAATTCGTACAGCCTTGTGGGGTAGTGTGAGTGTTGTCTCTTACAGTGGAGAATCTGAAATCCCCCCAGAGGTTAAGCTGTTAGAAATTGGTGTGCCATGCGGTGATTTAGCCAGAGACCATCCTCTTACCCACCGTGGCCTGTTAATACGTTAAACGCCAAATTTGAAAGTTAGAAAACAATCGACTTAAGTTGGTGATAATATATTTTTAAAAAATGTTTGTTTATTTTTGAGAGAGAGGGAGAGAGAAATGGGCGGGGGAGGGAGAGAGAGAGACAGACGGACAGACAGAGACAGAGAGAATCCCAACTAGGAACCACACCCAAGGAGAAGCCTGATGGGAGGCTCCATCCCACGACCGCCGGATCACGACCTGCGCCAGTGTCAACAGTCAGACCCTCAATCAGCTGAGCCCCCCGGGTACTCATATTGGTCTTTTGTGAGCTGAACTCGGGCCACATTGTTAGCCATGACCTGGGATGCTTTGTACTTGGCTAAGGTTTTCTCTGATAGCCAGCCCTCCACCGTCCTCCTTACAAGCAGTTGCCTCTTTTCCCAGGCCGTGTCCATCCCCACACTGTCATTCTCTTTGTCCCATTCCTCTGATGCTTTTCCCTTCCCCGTGCCATCCCGCCTCCCCTCCACCATCAAAATACTTTCCCCAGCGAAAGGAAGGCCTGGGTGTAACTAGGACTTGGGGGCAGGGAGTCTGTCAGCAAGACGATGGGTCTCCTAAGGAGAGAGAATCCTTGATCTAGAATCCCAGGTTGAAGTCTGAGTGAGGGAAAAAAACATTTGTTTTACTTATTTTTTTAAAGTTTATTTACTTTTGAGAGTGAGTGAGCAGGGGAAGGGCAGAGAGAGAGAGGGAAAGAGAATCCCAAGCAGGCTCTGTGCTGAACACAGGGCTTGAACTCAACGTGAGATCATGACCTGAGTCAAAATCATGAGTCAGATGCTTAACTGACTGAGCCACCCAGGTGCCCTTGTGTTACTTACTAAAAAACACGTAAAGGTGGTTATGGTGCTGTTAATACTGTATGTCTACTATATATCTGAGTTAAAGATGGGAAATTTGAGACCACAGCTACCATTTAAAGTTCTATTTTTCTTGGCAAGTGACTGATTGGCATTTAGGACTACAGCGCATTCATATTTGGGGGATCACCTATACTTACAAGAAGGGGCCTGGTGTAGATTGTCTTTTTCCATTAGTTCTTTTGGCATCTATCAGCAAACATAGTCTGCACTGAAAAAACTATCAGCTTCAAGGATACATTTCCCATTAATACAGAAGCATGGAAAATACCCTTGTAAGGAGAGCACTATTTCTTTGGTTCAGTTTGAAGGAGAAGTAGAGACGGAGGTGCCTCTCTTCCTGGGGCTTCACTCAAGGTCTTGAAAATTGCCCTCGTTAGTAAGTTCAGCTGTTGTGGTTAGATGAGTGACATTTGTGTTAACCAGGCAGCCAGATTGACCTATCTGTTCATTCCATGGGGCTTGTCCTTCTCATGAGCCGCAAAATCATGTGCTGGAATGTTCCTCAGGGAAGGTGTGGTTAAAATAGTCTGTCAACAAAAATTCTTTTTAGCTCTGTTTTTCATCCTTACTTTCTAGTCACCACCACGCTAGCCCAATTGTGCATGTCGTGTCCGCATCACTGTGGGTCCCAGGCACCGCTGCAGTGAGCGCGGGCCACAGGGCCGACTGCACAGTGACACTGCTGCTCGCGTGAGGGTGAGGGTGCTCCTCCAGGGAGGCAGGTGCTTTCCCCTCGGGGGCCTTTGGGAGCTGAGTTTCAGGGGGCTTCTGTGTTCCCTTCTCTTTAGTATTTTGGGTAGTTAGACTTAAAATTAAAAAAAAAAAAAAACTATTGAAGCTATGAGAGCAGTTTCAAGTTTCTTTGCTTTTGGAAGTGAAGCGAAAGAGGTTGATGTTGAAGCTTTTGTTAAAAGGATTTAAACTGCCCATTAGCCATCTCCTCTGTCCTCTGTTAAAATAAGCCCCAGATATCACTTAATATCTTGGGTGCGGAGTCTTCTAGCAAGATACTGGGTCTCATGTGGAAATCTCTGATCTTGAGAAAGAAGATATATTCTTAGAATTCCAGGTTAGAGGGGCACCTGGGTGGCTCAGTCGATTAAGTGTCTTACTTCGGCTCAGGTCATGATCTCACAGTTGGTGAGTTCAAGCCCCGTGTCAGGCTCTGTGCTGACAGCTCAGAGCCTGGGGCCTGTTTCGGATACTGTGTCTCCCTCTCTCTCTGACCCTCCCCCATTCATGCGCACACACGCATGTACACACACACAGTCTCAAAATTAAACATTAAAAAAATAAAGAGAATTCCAGGTTAAGTATCTAAGTGGAAAAAAGGTGTTTGGTTTGGTTTTTTTCTGTAAAAGTTGACAGTGTAAATAATTTAGGCCGGCAGGCCGTATAGTCTCAGTGGGGACTGCTCAACTGTCCGGGGCTCACTGTAGCACCGAAATGTGACCCGGCCTGAGACTTTACCTGTGGATACTCAAATTTGAATGTCAGATAATTTCCACATGTTAAAAGATATTTTTCTTTTGATTTTTTGGGACCATTTAAAAATGTAAAAACCTTTCTTAGCTTTTAATCCATATGAAAACAAGCATTGAACTAACTGGATTGTGCCCGTGGGCCAACCTGTGGTCTAAAGGATGAAAACTTAAGAGCTTTTTCATTTGCACTGTTTTTTCCAGGTTATGATGATATTTCAATACTTGAGAAATTTATTCTTCCCACATGTGCTGCAGACATTTTAACTGGTTGTGGTTTATCATGCCAAAGGGTATTAAAATTTTACCAGCCTAAGCTTTTCAAAAATTTTTTCCAAGAAAGGGACTTACACATGAGTCCCCATTATTATTCTAAATAGTGACTGCGGCCAGGGATAATTCTGTTGTACCAACTGTGCTGTTCCTTGTGTTAGGGTGCTTTAGAACTTTCCAGTTAAGCGTTCATACGTACTAAGTCACAGTTCATTTGTAGCTCATTCTGACTTCTTATGTGTTGCACTGAACAGATCTGAGCCCCTACCATGTACACAAAGCACTGGGAATAAGTGAAGAGATAGGGCTTTGGGGCTTTGGGAAATATTTTTGAACTCTCTTTCCAGAGTCAACCTGTTGGAACATTTACGTTGATAGGCTTGATCCTAAGTTTGATGTTCCATATGATGTCTGGTTCTCAGTGTTTAAAGAAACTCTGCCTGCTGCTCCATTAGGCTGCCAGGCTTAGTAAATGGTGGCCACAGGGTGGCATGGTTCTCTAATAGACTTCACTGGTGTTCAAATGGAACAGAAAAAAATATTGCAGGGGAATGAGAATTCTCTCCCCTATTGCAGCCTGGCTTTCTCTAAATTGGTTTTTCCATAGCGCATTATTTTTTTCTTTTTTTTCATAGTGCATTAAGATTTAGATAATACTAAACGTTGGTGCCTTACAATCTTTTATTTATGGTGACAGCACGAATTGTATAATGTTTATGATTGGGAGGATGGTAATTAGGACTGTATTTTATAGATTATATTTAATTTAGACAGTAGCCTCAATTAAAAAAATTAGCATGTGGGGCACCTTGGTGGCTTAGATGGTTGAGTGTCTGGCTTCGGCTCAGGTCATGATCTCGTGGCTGATGGGTTCGAGCCCCATGTCAGATTCTGTGCTGACAGCTAACTCAGAGCCTAGTGCCTGTTTCAGATTCTGTTATCTCCTTCTCTTTCTGACCCTCCCCTGCTCACGCTGTCACTCTCAGAAATAAATAAAAACATTAAAAAAAGAATTTAAAAAAATTAGCATGTAAAAACCAGAAAGAATATTTGCGAATAAACAATAGAGATGCCTTCTCAATAGTTGCAGAGTCCTGGGCAAAGGTATTGGCAAGCTTTTGGTCTGATTCCAAGAGTTTATGGAGGAGTGGGTAAAGAAGGGGTGGGATTCCAGATGGTCAGGAAACAGTAGAAAAGTGACCATCCCATCCAGGTAGATTAAGAGTATTATCGTCGGCTGAGAGCAGAATATATTCCATGAGTTTTCATATATTAGCTGGAAGAAGAGAATGTATTATCTCCATTTGTATGGCCAAGGAAAGTGGGGCTTTAGAGGATTTAAGTCAAGTCTTTGTGGGTGAGGTTTAAACCCAGACTTGCCTGGAGCCCACGTGAGTGCTCTTTGCACTCTTCCAGGCCAGCGCAGTGGAGACTCTCCTCGGTGGAGGAGGGGTGGACTTGGCTGTGATGCTGGGGTGTTGAATTCAGCTCCAGCTGCCAGTAACAACTACATACAAGGACAAAACTGTTTATTATGTCTCTTCCATCCTCCTGGCCTTATTTTTGGGTCCTTTCGGATTCCTTTGTTTTTAATACCCACTTATCAAGTCAATATCCCAAATGTTGCCTTGTTAGTTTTCTCCTTTGATCACCTCCACTGAAAGGGAAGCTTTAAGGAGCACAGAGATCTTCATTTCAGGTCATTTTGTGCTCTCAGTGCCTACAGTTCTTCCTGGCATGGAAATGTGCAGTGCTTATGTGTGTATAACCTGACTAGAAATGATACATTTGATTTTTCCCTAAACTTGATGTTTTGTGAAGATAGAGTCCCAGGAGGAACCTGACTAATGGAAGTTGGCTCTGCCTTTCCTTTCCTAGGGCGACTGTGTGGTTACGGTGTTGCTGGCTGAAGAGGACAAAGTTGAGGATGATGTAGTTTTTTACTTGGTATTTTCGGGTTCCACCCTCCATCACTGCACAAGTACTCGGAAGGTCAGTGCTGATACGCTGGAGACCATTGCACCTGGTAAGTATTGGGCGGAATCTTCACTGGCCTTCGCTGGTTCTTGTACACTTTTTAAAAACTGTTTTATTGATTTATTAATTGAGAGTGCACAAGCAGGGGAGGGGCAGAGAGAGGGGGGAGGACAGAGAACCCAAAGCAGGTTCCATCCATGCTGACGGGCTGATAGCAGCGAGCCCAATTTGGGGCTCGAACTCACGAACTGTGAGATCATAACCTGAGCCAAAGTCGGACGCTGCACTGACAGAGACATGCAGACGCTCCTGGTTCTCCAGCACTTTTACTCCATGTTCATTAGTGTTATGTAAGAGGAAGAACCAGTCAGGGTGACAGAAATCAATACATGTTAAAGTAAAGCATTTTGTTTATATACTGCTTATTCCACAAAAATCTGAGCCTCACTAGAAATTAGTAAAATAAAATGGTGTCGTAAGTTGAAAGATAAAAATTAGGATCAGCAAAAATATTTATTAGAATATTGAGATTTGGGGGAAAGTAAAACACGTGGGAGGTTGTGACTGCAGGTTTGATGCTGAATATCAGAGTGGCAATAGCAAAGGTAAAACATAATAAGTAACATATCCCTCAGCATCTGGGAGGGAAAGACCTAAGAATCTTTCATAAAAGCCAAGCTTCCCAAATTACAATTCATGGTAGAATGAGTACTTAATCACTGTTTAACAGAATTCAAAGGGAAAGTACTTATTAAAAATTCTTTACAGAGTCATTGCTACTTCCACCAGAAACAGCTGCAAAAATAATGACGGGCTCTTGACCTGTCACAGTACCTGAAGGTGCCCTGATGTGTATTTTGGGATGAGCTCATTTCCTTAATGGACCTTGTTTCACAGTTAACAATGGACCAGGCTTCATCAGAATACAAAATGGCACATCTAGGGGTATACCCCTAAGATGTTAACTGTTGTTCTTTAGAGAATAAAGTGGACTTAGTTCTTCTTGAAATGTTTCTTTTTCCCAGTGTTTTTATAGAACACTGATTCCACTGTGTTGAAATAGATGGTGTAAAAAATGTACTACGTTATCAAGCACTTTTAATGTCTAGTCTTGCCGGTGTTGGATCCGATTGCCAGTTTTTCATTGCTGTGCCATATAATATAAATTAGCCTCGTGTCTGATACCCACCAACTCCTGGAAATTATACTACAGTTAAGAACCAGGGTTTATGATGCTTGAAAGCTGTATTTATGTTTCTCCTTGACAGCAATGGTTTTGAAAAATAGAGTATTTAAAGATTCTTGACAATTCTTATGAATATCTGCCCCCTGTCCCCCAACCCCTGCAAATTTTTAGGGACTGGAAATTTAACAAGGAGTTCAGGACAGAGACTGATTTCTAAAGCGTATCTAGTGTCCTCCTTTGTAACTTAAAGCTCCAATCATCTTGTTTCCTGTGATGTGTATCGTGTCAGGAAGGCTTATCTGGAACCTGAGGTCTGCTCTGGACCAGCTGCCACCCAGTATCACCCTTGCTGAACACCTGTCACGTGTGGGGGATGGGGAGAGACAGTCCTCAGCAAGCAGAGCCTGTCAGTCCCTGCCTGCGCATGCGCGCCCCTGTAGGACAGTGTCAGTAGGTACAAAGAGGAGGCCAGTGGCCATAAGAGAAAGGACAGGGGTATCAAGGATGTAGGCCTGTGTCCTAGTTGCGGTCCTCAGTCACAAGTGGCCACAAAGTGCAGCCCCGTGGAGATGGATATGCCCGGCAGCTCTTACACCTTCACTGCTTGACAAGGCCCTGATGTCAGGATGGGCGGTCGCTTTCCTTAGCCTCACAAGCCCACTGTGCTTGTACCACAGCCCGGGCTCTGAGTTCGTTCTACACCCTCTCAGATTTCCAGCCTTCCTTTCCGAAATCTGCTTCCCATTTCGTCCCTTGCCTTTGGTTCCTCTTCTTTTATTAAAAAAATTTTTAATGTTTATTTATTTTTGAGAGAGGCAGAGGAGGAGTTGGGTAGGGGCAGAGAGAAAGGGAAACACAGAATCTGAAGCAGATTCCAGGCTCCGAGCTGTCAGCACAGTCTATCACGGGGCTTGAACCCACGAGCTATGAGATCCTAGCCTGAGCCAAAGTCGGATGCATAACTGACTAAGCCATCCAGATGCCCCCTTGCCTTTGGTTCTAAACCTCCTTATGTGTTTCTGTCACCTTTTTCCAGCCATATCCATATGTGATTGTCCTTTTGTACATTTACCGAGTCTGAGTACACTTACCCAGCTGACCCCAGTGAACCAGAGTGGGTATTGTACTCTGCTTCTTTCTGCTAATTTGATCTAAATCTGCAGAAATCACCACCCCTGACCCATTTGCCTGGGGCCTGGAGTCCTGGTTCCTGCCTTCTCTAGTGTCCACTAATCAGTGGTCCCTTCTTTAAACTGTGGTCTCAGGCGCTTCCCGTGTTCCCGGTCACACGGGCCCAGCCACCTGTCCCCGACTCACCCAGGTGGGACCGCACGGTCTGCTTCTTGTTGCGTTCATTCAGGCTGACAACAGGAGATGGCCGAGCACAAGAGAGGTGACAGAGGCTCAGCATCCCTGCAATACCCTCTTGTGCTACCAGGCCACACTCTAACCTATGAACCTTTGGTTCGGATGCACAGTAGCAGTGAGGCTCCGTTGGTGAATCAGAATCTGTTTGCTATTTAAACAAGGAGACCCCTGAATGGAGCCCCTTGCTCTGGTGAGTGTGTAGGAGCTCCCCCCGTTCAGTTGTCTGTTTAAGCTCCTACGTCTGCTCTAGTCATTTGTGGAGGTGCAGGGATGGGCATCTTGGGGTTTGAGTTAGATTTGAATCTCCTGTTTATATCATGGCATGAATATTTTAGCCTAGAATTAAACTGCCTTAGATCGGTCTTCAGGGATATCTTAGACTGTTCTTTACCTTCCTTCCTTCAGCTCTCTACTGAGCTAGCACCACCTCAGTGAGGCCTTACCTGTCCACCTTATAAAAATAAACAGCGGTCTCCCCTCTGGACTCCTTCTTGTCTGTCTCTGATTTGTTTTTCTCCATTGCACTTACTAACTTCTAACACGTATACTCCATTTATCTTATTTATTTTCTACCTGCCTTTGCTGACGTCAGCTTCGTGAGGGTGTGGATTCTGTTTTGTTGGTGTAGTAATCCCTGCCATGTGCTGGAACTGCTTCTCTCCTGTTTTTGAATTTATCCCAGTTCTCAAAAGCCACTGTTCTAGAAAGGTTGTGCACACATGTGTATGCACACACACATACACACACACACCCTTTTAAAAAACGCAAAAGGAGTTTGTTCAGGCCTCTTGAACTGGATTCTTGGTTTGAGGGTGGGAATTAGTGTTCTCTTTCCAGTTTCTGCCTACGGTGATTTCTGAGCCTCGGTGGGCTGTACTGACAGCCTCAGATTTCCTGTCTGCTGCGGGCAGCGTCTGATTTGTAAGGGTATCTTCATGGAAAGTTCTGCCTGCTTTGTGCCTCGCCGTCACCATGTCAGCGCGCGGTCCATGTGCAGCCGCGGCTCCTGGGGGTGTGTCTGTGCGCCTGGTCTGCTCCCGGGTGGGACCAGCTCCCCCAGCCTTGTCAGTTTGGTGGACTTTGGGAAGAAAAAGCACTTTGTGTCTTGTTCTTGCTTTTAATGTCATGTTTCATCCAGATTGCTGGCGCTGACTTTTCTTTGAGTTCTCTGCATGTTTCACTGTCAATGTTTTGTCACATTTTAGTTTTTACTAAAACCAGATGATTGACTGACCTTCAAAAGGCAGATACTTTTTGATGTTAGTCTCTAACCTTTTATTATTTGCGGATGGAAGAGAGAAAGAAACCTTTCTAACTTGGCTCTTCTAAAAAAACGTTTTTTACTTCAAATATGAGAATTATTTTCCTTTTCTTCTGTTTTCTCACTTTTTTGCTTGTTTTCTCATGAAAAGCTTAGAATGAATTGTGCATGTGTGTTTAATTATAAATTGTAAAGGCTTGGGTTGTCTGGGTGGCCTAGTTGGTTGAGTGTCCGACTTCAGCTCAGGTCATGATCTCATGGTTCTTGAGTTTGAGCCCCACATCAGGCTCTGTGCTGACAATTCGGAGCCAGTGCCCGGAGCCTGTTTCATATTCTGTGTTTCCCTCTGTGCCGCTGCCGTGCCCCCCCCCCCCCCCCCCCCCCCCCCCNAAAAAATAAGTTGTGAAGGCATTAAAATTTTTTTTAATGTTTATTTTTGAGAGAGCGAGAGAGCATGAGCAGGGAAGGGGCAGGAGGAGAGGGAGACACAGGATCCGAAGTGGGCTCCAGGCTCCAAGCTGTCAGCACAGAGCCCGACACGGGGCTCAAACCCAAACTGAGATCATGACTTGAGCCGAAGTTGGAGGCTCATCCAACTGAGCCACCCAGGCGTCCAAATTCTAAAGGTATTTTAAAGTAATCTTTTCTTGCCTTACTGCCATCAAAAAGCGGTAGACATAATGATTCCCCTTTTTACATAAAGAAAGAAAGTACAGTAAAAGTCATAACACCTGAGGGGGCAGTTAGGTGGGGACTTAGTTTCTACTTTATTTGCCTTTGAATTGTTTGAATGCTTTATAAGTGAGCCTGTTAGTTTTTAAACATATATAGTAATTTTTAATGAAAATATTTTGAAGACTGAAAATATTGTCCTCACTTTTGAAAATAAAGCCATCTGTGTGCTAATTAACACTAGACAAAGACAAACAAGCTTAAAGTGTTTTAAAATTTATTTTGAGACTGAGAGAGAACAGGTGTGAGTGGGGGAGGGGCAGAGAGAGAGAGAGAGAGAAAGAGTGAGGGAGGGAGGGGGGAGGGAGAGGGAGAGGGAGAGAATGAATCCCAAGCCGGCTCGGGTGGCACAGAGCGAATCTCGGGGCTCAAACCCACAAACCATGACATCATGACCTGAGTCAAAACCAAGAGTTGGATGCTTAACCGACTTAGCCACCCAGGTGCCCGCAAACAAGCTTTATAATAAAATATTACATGCAAAATATGAATTTCTGGTTTA